AACCACTAGTAGTATAAATACACCATGTACTTATACCATGTATGAATATTTTCATCATCACTTAGTACCGAATCACATATTTTTTGTTAGTAATCAGCAGCGAAATCGCAAAAAGAACATTCAATTAAAGAAATCCGTTAATTCAATTAACCGATTTGTAGTTGGCAGTACAACTGGCCATCACTAAACTGTCTATGGTCAGGTCAGCGACCTGTTTTTTACTTTTTCTGTATATTTTTTTTTATTGAGGCTTTAGCTAAACCATCAGCCTAAACGTGTTGGATTGAAACGAACTATGTGGACATAGTTATATGAGTAAGTATGAAGAGTCTTTTCATGGCAGTAGTTATCGATGTAGCATTGTTATTCTTACCAAAACAGTTGAAGAAGTTGGGCACAAAGACCCTAGCGGCTGCAGTGATGGTTTGCGCTGAGGACAGGATGGACTTAACGACGAGGTCCTCGACGGCCGCCATCAGCGCGGTAGTGTTGCGACCTTGCTTGCGCAAGTGCCGCAGCAGAGCCGAGAGGGTCCATTTATGACCTATGTTGCCAGCGTTAGGGTCGTCGCATCTGTGACATTTCAAGTACACGTTTTACTCGATTTGACCTTCACTTAAGATCTTATTGAAATAGCACCAGCAAGCCAAACGTTCTTCAATTTGTCTTCAATCATTATGCGGCATTTGAGTGAGGAATTAAATTCGCAAGATAAAAAGTATTTAATATAAAATATATTCAGAAGAGAAAGGCCGCGTTCGGTGTTTATTGATGGGATTTATTGATTTATTTGATAGAGGAATCATGATAAAACCTATCCAGCACGACACCCTTTACTCATAACAATAAGTGTCCTAGGTCCGGTAGGTAATGGTCTTCCAACACCAGTTCCAATTAGTACGATTGTAACGATAAGAGTAAATACAAGTACTTACTCGATACCTTCCTTCCGATACCAAGTACTTTTGGTATCAATACTTTTTAATGAAGTATTAAGTACGTATCGGTCAAAAGTACTCGTATTGTATAATCGATACTTTCCTTCCGATACCAAGTGATACTTTAAAACCAAGTATAAAGTAGGACTCGGTGAAATTTATGAAAGTAGTCGGTATGCCAATGTCAAGTGGTGGAAGCGGCCTTTTTTTCAGCGGTCCGTGTTGAACCCAATGACAAGAAATTAATTTAGTTCTCAGTATGTATACAAGTAGTCGATACGAGTAAGTATCGATACTTACGACCGATACTGTATCGAGTAAAAGTATCGATAAGATGCATTTATATTGAGGCTACCTGCGCAAAAGTGGTGTAACGCACATTTAATTTATTTTTTCTACAATATTATTTCAAAATAGATAATTATTTTATATTTGGATGCTAAATTTTTTTGTATAAAAAAAATATTTACTTATTATTAATTTTTTATGTATGAAAACAGCATCCTTTACTTTTTTGAACGACTTCAAAAAAAGGAGCAGGTTCTCAAAGAACGTGAATCGATTTTGATGATTCTTTTTTTGTTGGGAAGAGGGTACCTCAGTATTGGTCCCATTTAAATTTGAAGACAATATTCCACCTCTAAGGGTAGCAAGCTAGGGTATAAATCCGGTTTCGCGTACTTTCCGGTAACCAATTTCAAGAAAACTTAGCAAATAGATGTAATTTCACGAACTTTTGAGGTTGGCTTTTTAATACTCTTTCCTGAGATTATTCACTCATAACCCCGCACTAGGGACACCCTGTGTCGCGGCACACACATACACAACCACAAATTACACCCAAACTCACGAGAGAAAGAAATGTAGGCCATACAAATATTTCTCCTGGCCCGGGAATCGAAATCGGGACCTCTGCGTGACAAATCAGCATGGCAACCGTGCGGCTGCGGATGCAGTTAAAATATAAAATAATTATGAACTTATAGTAATATTGTAAAAAAAGTGGGTTACATTACTTTTGCGTTAATAGTGTCATTTATTTCAATATCTCGACGTTCTGTAATTAAAATTAACACGGATATAGAAACAGCCAGTCACCGGTGATTTTCAAAGGAGTTTTATACACATTTATAAAATTAAGAGTATAGTGTGCTATACTATAATAAAAACAAGTTTTTTTGCTGTTTAGTTGTTTGTTAATAAGGTCACAGGAAAATATCTTATGACGATATAAACTACAAGTAGAAGAATAAATGGCAAGAAAAAAATCGTCAATAGTGCAATTTTATTTTAAATTGTTTACCGTGTATTATTTTACAATGTCTGGTAATTAATTTAATACTTTATTAATTAAATCATAATCAATTGTGTTTAATACTTCGTTTACAATAAATTTGTTTTTTTTTTTTAAATATAATTAATATATTTGTCTGTGAAACAAACTTATTGCCAATAAAATAATAATTATGAAAATTAAATCTTCTGCCTTATGTTAGGGATAGCGAGAGAGGCAGATTATCGAGCATATAACCAGAAATAGAGACGAAATGTCATTAATTTGTTTGAAAACTGTTCTGCCAAATCATTACGGTGACAACTGCGCTCCGATTGGCCAGCCCGAATTAGAAACAATTGACGGGTGTCGTCAATTGTTTCACTTCAAATCGACCAGTTTAACTTAAGTTTCGCTATAATGGACGAATATTGAAAAATTACATATTTAATTACCGATGAAATGTGATTCCTTTTTTTTGTAATTAGATGTTTTGCTGTTTTTCCCACACCATCGAATGGAACAGCTCCTCATAGTTAGAGCTATTATCTTTATTACAATAAATACAGGATATTTTTGGAATATACGGAGATATATACACAGGTCGGTTGTTGGCGCTGTACTATTTCAGCTTGTGATTTCGGTGCAAACGAGAGTTGATATTTGAAAGTAATATAAGGCCCATTTACCTGATGAGTTACCAGAGATGGATCACCCTTATTTCGTCTCTATTTCTGGTTATATACTCGATGAGAAAGATGGACTAATTTCAAATTTAGTTTAATAAGAATCATGATTAAAGAGGACTTGTAATCTACATACTACAGATCGTAACTCTGAAAGCGGTCAAAATTCCGTCTTATGTCTAGATAGCGCTGATCTATAGCCTGGAAGTAGTTTATATTATGTAAATGGTCGTTGATGTTAATGAATTCCTTTTTAATATGAAACAGAAGAAGTCAGTTTTTTCTCCTTATATTATTCCAATATTCATCATTAGCTAACGTCTGAACTTTGACAAATATGCATGTGAATATATGGTATTGCAACTAATTTATAAATTAACACTTCCTAATATGGGTAGATGGCGCTAATCCTAAACAAAAGAATAGCCAGCGCTATCCATAAAAATCTATGCAATAAGCGCCATCTAGTTGATTTGTTAGTTATCACTAGAAATGAGAGTAGCTTAAGTTAATGTAAAACAAACTAGTTACAGAAATAGCTATTTGGTACATGTCGCGACATCTGGTGTACGAGTAGGTACTAAATACCCGACTACGCTGTCCTGTACGCTGTCGCGATTGGAATTCGAATAATCGACGCCAATATCTACTTACTTGACATAATCCGTGTGATATTTGTTAATGCTGTAGTTGCACAAATGCATGCAGGGGTTCCACAAATTCTTGTTTGTCTTATCGTACTTGACTGTGGCGAAACGGACCAGTCCCTCCTCGTAGAGGTATATGAGGAGAGGATCGATGGAGGTGACGCATACATACAGGCGGAGGTCGCATTTGTGACCGCCTATCAAGAGAGGCCTGTCTATGTATTTAGCTACAACCACGTTCTCGCCTTTAGGTATTTGTTCCGGCTGGAAGATAATATGATTTTCTTTTTTAACCCGTCACGCGACATAAAGACATACGATGTCCCTAACTGTTTTGGTACTGTAGCGTGCTAGTGCCACTCGGTGTCTCCAACGCGTAGCTTACCTATTTCTACCGCCAAGCAGTAATGCAGTAAGTGTGCTAGTGAAATTACAGGCACATTGGATTTGTCAATTTATGTCACAGAGTGACACGCGCAATGGCAGTGCCCCATAGACGATTTGCTCGTTTTGTCGCGAAAGAAGATAAAACGTATTTGACATTCGGACCGACCGACTTTAAATCAACAAAATCGTGAACGCCTCGGCGGCGCCCACAAGATTTTTGTGATTTAAAGCTCTGAGCGACACTGCAACTGTTATGGACAGACGTGTAGCTTACCATCAGGCGCACGACCTATTCGTCCCTTCACTTGGTATTATAAAAAAAAAACCAAAATCGTTAGGGACATCGTGTGTCTCTAGAATTCGTGACGGGTTAAATGACTATTTATTAATAATAATAACACTTTTTAAAGACAAAACAGCGCCTTTACTGCGAGTTGACTGTGACAGATGTCGCTAGCGACCGCGTTAATTGCTTCACAATTTTGCATGGCAAATTATACAACGCCCCCAGCGGTCACAAGAAGAAACAACATTTTGTATACAAACATTTTATGCGGTCGCTAGCGATAACTGTACCTGTAATCTCATGGTAGAGGCACAGTTTTGTAAGGGAACGTTTTGGTGTGTAAGATGATGTATCGATCAGTGGCCGTAGCATGGCAGTGTATCACACGCAATGTGTGATAAACCTCTCCGTGGCATATTTATTCCAGTTAATAAAGTTATGTTGCTTATAAATTTCTTTTTTTGCTAAATCGGTACGATACCGCACTAGAGTCATACATTCTTTTGTTTATTTGTTATTGTCATGTATTATCATAAAGAATGTGCTCATTTGTTATACGATGGGGTGTGCTTTACTGGATCATTTAAAAACCTGAAAACAGGTTAAAATAAAAGTGTATTAATTTAAGAATAAAATATCTAACTTTATCATTGACTTAGAAATAAATGGACGACGGGTCTAACACAAAAACCACGAAAAAAAATGTCCCAAGTCAACCTATTTAAACGTAGTGATATTTAAAGGAATATGAAAAAGCTAAAACGTTGAATTTAAATTGTAATGTCATCGCAGTACTGTTTAATTTTGCTTGCTTCGCTGTCAGTCGAACAAACGAAGACTAAAGCGTGAATGACGCTCTGTATACGATTTTAACGCCCTATAAGTTCGGACACTTTTTAGCGCGGACCCGACGTCCATATAATTGTAAGTCAATGAACTTTATACATAATTTTTATACGGAGATATTTCTCTTTCAGTACTTCAGAGAACCTGCTAAATTTTGGTTTTGAACTGAAGACCCTATTAGTTATTTATGTTTATGCCAAAATTTGCAAATTGCCCAGCGGTTTAACGGCACGCCGCGCCATACGCTGCCCCGTCAGTCGCCATCCGGCGCTTGTCTATGTCGGATCTTGTCAAGTTTTCTCCGCCTGTTCTTATTTCATACATATTCATAATAGCGCGCGGATTGCGGGGCGCGGGAGACGACCCCCTCACCACAGCTCCTAAATTTATTAGATTTAAAATACCTACAATATTATTTTTTGTGTATAACGCATGTAGCATTTTTTTGTATGAAACGTTTTATTGGTTTGAATTGTATTACATAAACTAAACATATTTTTTTTTCTTTAGATGTTTATTATTGAAAAGCATCAACAATTCTCATCAGTTGTTTGTAGCAATTAATGGATAACGGTGCTGATGTCACAATCATTAAAAGTTTACTGTAAGTGTGCGTAAAGGTCTCGCAATGCGCCGCGAACGCGCCTATTCGCGATCATTCAAGTCAGATCTGTACGCACCCTAAAAAAATATTATAAGTTATGTTGATCTGTACAAGAACACAATAGAGAAATCATAAGGTCTGTTAACTCAATTTGTAGTTTAGTTGGTAAGAGCCGTGACCCCGGTGTGGCAACAGACCGTGGTTCGAATTCAGTCAGACCGAAGGAATCTCTGTGTTATTTGATTTTTGTATCAATAATAAGTGGCACAGAGTAGAATATAAATCTTAAATGTCCAATTTGCTCTGCACTTATGTTCCACTTACAGTATTAACAATGTAGATGCCCCTTCCGCGACTCGAAGCCGCTGGCTTGACGATCCAAGGCCCTTTAGTTCTGTAGTGAGTGGTACAAAGCTCCTTGAACTCCGCAGGCATAAGGAACGTGGTCGGGATGAAGTCGAAGTGTTTCAAACCTCGGAAGTACTGCATCTTCTCTATGTTTTTGAATAACTTGTCTTTGCGTGTTAGTTCGTAAGATCTGGTGAGAATAAAATTAATAATTTTAGGCAAAATTTAACATATAATGCTTGAAAGTCAAATTGGGATTAGCGACACGATACAAACGTAACAGGAGAGCCAAAAAACAGCAGAAATTTTGAAAAAAAAATTCACCATAATTTTTCTTCAACACTATTTTTGAAATAAAGCTTTTTATTATGAATATAATAATGATTTGTAAACAGTGATATCTATATTTTGCCAAAAAATGTACATTACTTTAGGATCTAGTGTCGCTTTCGCAATTTGGTCATGAAAACGGTTTTAGGTAATAAATATCTAACCAGAATGTGTCACGACAAATAAATCAGGCAAAATAGCCTGACTAAAAATATAGGTTAATAAATGTATTTTCTTTGGATCGCCAACTTAATCGCCAGCGAAGCCAGCATCAGTGGCAGAATGAAGGCTCGTTGACCCCATCGCAATAGGCACCGTGTAGTAAAACGATCCAATCGCAAAAAATTTAAAATTAAAAGCGAAGTAAAAACATAATATTCAAAGAAAAATCATCTAACTGCTTTTCGAGCCGCAAGTAAGAATAAAATTTTTATTTACTACCAGTAAAAGTTGGCTAGAAAATGAAACAACTATGTAGAAAAAAAAGGCAGATTAGTAACAATTGTTTAAATGGCAACACTGAACCGAGAGTCATAGTTTTTCTGACGATTTTGCGTTGATTAGTCTGGTGACGTTTACGTGGGCACCTTGGACTGCTGTGATTCAATATTCACGTCAAAATGTAAATTACAGTAATAGAAAAGGAATTACCTAGGAAAGTGATTGACCCTCTGGTTAGGATTCAGGTTGTGTAGAACGTCGAATGGTATCATGCAGTCCGCCCAGTAGAGGCCCCAGAATTCGTCCTGATCGGGACCGGCTTCTTGTAGCCCATGCGCTTGCAGCAACAAGCGCAGGAGATTCGGCCGCCTACTACCACTTACCGTCAGTATTATTAGTCAATACAAAAACTAACTACAAGGATATTTATGTTTTTATGGGAAAAATAAAATACAAAGTGAATTGTTCAGAAGAACCTCAAACTCAAAGAAAAAAATTATGAGAAAGTTGATGCAAGAACTATTCGAGAAACACATGTTTATATTAATTATTTTAACGTTCATTATCTTTATACTTTATATACTATAGTTATAATATATTTTGCGATATGGAATTATTTTTATTTAGTTTTATGTACAAATTTGTTCAAGCATTTTAACTAACGGCTTTTGGTTGAAAAATGTGTTCTGATTTTTTATCTTTAAGATAAAATCTTATGTTTCTATTATTACTATCATCTCCACTCAAACACACATACTACACATACATTAAAACTAATATTAATAATTTTCCCTTTGAAAAAAAGAAAGGTACAACTAATCTTAATATAACAAATCTAAATATAAGAAGTGTGACTGCTAACCTAGACATCTACCTTACGTTATTACAAAGGACAAATGTTATTTGGGACATCCTTATGTTATCCGAGTGTTGGCTACCCAAAACAGATAATATTACCAATATAAAAAACTATAAACACTACTTGACTGCCAAAATCGCACTCAAAATGAGGGAGTTGTAATCTATGTCAATAAGGAAATAAATGCAAAAGTTGAAGAACCCGTTGTTTCCGATTGTAACTGCCTTGACATAAGAATAAATATAGATATACTAATATTAGCAATATATAGGCCTTGGGGCACACTTGATCCTTCGAATATTATAGAATCACTTGACCAATATCTGAGTATCAATTCAAACATAAAAAATATTATCTTAATGGGAGACATCAACATTGACATCATTGAAACTATGATCACGAATAAATTGCAACAAATATTTAGACATATTGTGTTTGCATGATATGTTGCCAGCCCACAAATTTCCCACGCATAATAAAACATGCCTAGACCATGTAATAGTTAAAACCAAACAGCAAGCATTTTGTTACGTGTCGGAAAACACTGTAACCGACCACTATTCTACCTTTTTAGTTCTGGTAACTCATGCTCACGTATTCACTCAATCTAGTAAGACAATAACAAAAATTAACTATGGAAAACTAGAGAAATGCTCTGAAATCCAGTGATCTAAATTCCATCTACTCTATGACTGACGCCAATTTGACTGCATCTTACTTGGTAAACACCCTTAGCAATATCATTTAATTTAATACCATATGTATCAAAATTTCAAATCGCAAAAAAATTAACAAGCCGTGGATCACACCAGGTATACTCAGATGCATGAGAAACCACGATAATATGCATAAAAAAGTCAAGAGAAATCCAAACAATATTGTATTAAAAGTAACATACAAGAGATATAGAAACTTCTGTAATGTATTACTTTTAAAACTCAAGAGACAGTACTATAAAACTGAAATCTCCAGTGCTGCGAAAAAATCGAACAAAGATTTATGGCGTGCCATTACCACTGCAATAAAAGCTAAATAAAATAAAATCAATAAAAGCAAATCGTATGCGACTGAGCTAATCTCCTCGGACCCTATGAATTCAATAAATAAAGTAAACAATTTTTTCGTCAATATTGGCAAAGACACGTTGGACAATTTTCCAAAATCCCCACTAACACACAATATGGATCCCCCACTGAAATCCAATCCTAAATTATTAGTGTTGCTTAATACAGATTGTGATGAAGTTGAGTCAATTATACTCAACCTTAAATCTGACTGTTCAGGTGGCAGAGACAACATCTCGGGAAAAATCCTGAAAACACATAGGGATATACTGACGGGGTCTATCACTCACATTTGTAATCTTGCCACACCCACAGGGACCTTTCCGGATGTCCTAAGGTTGGCAGAGGTCCTTCGAATTCATAAGAGTGGTGACAGAGACTGTGTAAATAACTATAGACCCATTTCTACTCTGCCTATTGTCTCGAAAATTTTAGAAAAAGTTATTAACAAGCAACTTACCAACTATTTAGAGAACAACAACTTGCTATCACAATTCCAACATGGGTTTAGATCTGGACACACAACTAACCAAGCATTTCATGAATTAACAAATTACATTGTTACTAATCTCGATGCTAAAAAAAAAGTGATCGTGATCTTCCTAGACCTGGTAAAGGCATTTGACAAGGTCTCTGTTCCAGTCTTGCTACAAAAGCTAGAACTGCTAGGAGTTAGGGGATTGCAGCTGGAATTGTTTAGGACCTACCTGAGCAACAGATATCAGCGAGTTAAGATTGACAGTATGTCAGTAACGATCTTCCTATTCATCATGGAGTTCCGCAGGGGAGTGTCATGGGGCCTACCCTCTTCCTAACCTACATGAATGACCTCTGTGAACTGGATTTGTGTGAGAGCACGATTATATCCTCCTGGAAAGAGGTGTATAGTGAAACACAAAAGGGCTTTGATAAAGTATCTACCTGGTTAAGGAACAACAAACTTATACTGAAAGCCAACAAAACAAAATTTCTTACATTTATGACCAAAAAATATTCTTTAATAGAACATGAGCAAGTTAGCATCATTTCCCATTCTTGCAATCAATCACCGCTTCCTTGTACATGTCCTGCTCTCACAAGAACCTCATCAATCAAGTATCTGGGTATAATCATTGCTGACATACTTAGTTTTCATCAACATATTGAGGATCTAACAAACAGAGTCCGCAAGCTAACATATATATTTAAAAACTTACGACATGTGAGTGATATCTCAATGACACTCTGGCAGTCAATATTAACATATTGTATTGTAATTTGGGGTGGAGCGCCCACATCAGCTTTACTGCCACTTGAAAGAGCTCACAGGCTAACACTAAAAGTGAGTTACTTCGTTCCACGTTTATATCCAACAAGTGAGCTGTATAACCTCTGTAAAGTATTAACGGTCCGCAAATTGTTAAGCACTCCCAATTTTCTTTGAATCCTAATTACCATACCAAAAGAAGGAAACACACAGTGTGCCCCACAGAAAGTTTTCGAACTGAATAAACTAAAAATAATACTTGTGTTCTTCTGTCCTTCCACTTCAGACACTTACAGTACTCCTCACTATGTGATATTACTTCGATCTCATGTTTTATGTTGTGGCTGATTTTTACCTACTAACACAAACGCATACATATATATACATACATATATATATATACCTCCATTTCGTCTCATACTTTACTTTTACCTTTTATATTATTTGTATTTTATTTCACTTCGTTGTACTTGATATTAATTTTCTGTTTACAATCACAATCTTGTAAAACCGTAATATTGAAAGTGACATTTGTCACGTATTTATGTTGTAATGCTGCCTTTCCAAACATCGTAATTATCCGGATGGGTGAGAGCCTGGACATCCGTCGACCGTCACACAGGTTAATTCCTAGTGTGGACTCCAGCCTCTTATCTAAATATTTAGGCATTTCATGTACATAATTTTTTTACTATATAACCTTGGTAAAGAGATAATAAAGATTTATATTATTGTTATTACTACTTAAGTGTAATATTTGGTACTTGTTGTCAAAATTTATTTCTTTTGTATTAATTTTGTAATGACTGTCGGTATCAAAATAAATTTATAAAAATAACGTGTTAAAAATGAACTTAACCGACTTCAAAAAAGGAGGAGGTTCTCAATTCGACTGTATGTTTTTCTTTGTATGTATGTTACGCGATAACTCCGGCATTTGTGAACCGACTTTCATGATTCTTTTTTTGTTGGAAAGAGGGTACCTCCATAGTGGTCTCATTTCATTTTGAAGAAAATCATCCACCTCGAAGGGTGGCTGATCACGCATGAACAGTCATTTTTATAAATAGCGCCTAAATTTTACTTAAGGAGCAATTATTTTAATGGTTGGTTTTGCTATTCTCCAATTCAAGGCGTTTTACTTTCTCAATATACTTTGAGTAGTGAGAACCGATTTTTATTATTTTTATGTCAAGTCCTGTGTAGTGGTGAACTAGGGGATATTTCAATAAAACTTGGCAAATAGATTAATTCTGCGTACTTTTGAGGTCGTTTTTTTAGTACTCTGTACTGAGATTATTGCTAATCAACTTTCGTAGTATAAAAAAGCAAGTGATATTTTAAACAGTAATACTGACAGCAAGTGAAGGTTTCTAGTGACGGAAGAACTCCTGGGTCGTCTCGATTTTCGACAAAAGATTCTTGAAGACTTATTTGCCGGAGCTACGTACTGTACTTACGTCTTTAAAGTTGCTGTTGACCAATTTTTGATCTCTTCAACTGCTCGAACATCTAAATTGGATCCAAACTCGAGACGCCCAGTACACCGCTTTACCAGCTGATCTCTATGTCGGAACATTACCTGATTTCAAACTGCCGTTTCTGTACTTTGAAAGATAGTTTACCTTATTGAAAGAAGAAGAATTAATTTGTTGTGTAGTAGACCGTGCCAAAGAAGGCGGCCGCTGAAGGTTTCCAGGACACCGGGTCTAAAGCGTAGTCACAAAGCGTAGAAAAGAGGAGATGTGTTTAAAGCATAGGTTCCCAAAGTATTTGGTTCGTCGCCCACTTAGATAAGATAAAAAAATTTCAATGCCCACCACTATGAAAAATAATTTAAAAAAAAAGACATTTTTTATATTAACTTAACACAAAAAAATCACAAGGAAAAAAATTATATATTTTTAGTGTAGTTTATATAAATAATCAGGTTTTTTTTTAACGCCACCAATTGCTTCTGATGCTTTTACCGCTTAGGACTTTCCAGCGCCCACTGAGGGTCGGTAGGGTCCACTTTGGTTAACTATGGTTTAAAGCATCGAAGATGCAATAACTTAAGATCGTCACGGTTTTATGTAATTTAATAATAAATCGATATGGACCTCATAAGAAGGCTCAAGGTCACTCAGCGGGCAATGGAGAGAGCGATACTCGGTATTTCCCTACGTGATAGAATCAGAAATGAGGAAATCCGTAGGAGAATTAAGGTAAACAACATAGCTCGAAGAATCGCTCAGCTGAAGTGGCAGTGGGCGGGGCACATAGCCAGGAGAATTGATGGCCGTTAGGGCGGAAATCGTCGTGGAGATCGTTGAGGGAGGCCTATGAACAGCAGTGGGCGTCGTATGGCTGATTGATGAATAATAAATCGCTTATTAAGGCTGTCATCACACTTATAAGCAACAGCATAAGCCGGTCAGAAAAAGCTTTACCTGTGTGCGATAAGAGCGCAAAAGGTACCGAGCGTTACGTTTCCGCACTTATTTTTATTTATTAGGGAAAAATCAACAGCCTATTATAATTAAAATATATGTCAGTGCCAGTAATCACTTCAAAACGTAATGTAACAGAATTCGTTACGAAGGAAAAAATCTTAGCTAATATTAGCACGTGTTGCTTTCTAATTGTTAGAGACGCTTTCTAAGCCATGCACGAATACATTAACTAATTCGATCGTGGTTTCTTTATTTACGAATGTCACGTCTGTTTCATAGCTCAAGCTGGATGAGGTCAGAGAGGATTAGCTCTATTGTAGTTTGAGTCTGTTCAGTTTAATTAGTAGTTCTGACGTGGTCCTATGATAATGATGGTTGTTGGAAGGGTTGCCATGTGAAAACAAGGAGTAAAGTTGGAAACACTGGCCAAAGCTTAAAAACGAACGCGATTTGATAAGACGGCATTTGCGAGTGAGATATTTGAAAATAGAATAATGGCGGCCTGTCTCTGTGAATTTGCCGCGTGACACTTAAAACATATTCCCGGATACACAATTAGGGCCACCTCGCATTTTTGTCGTAAAGGGCTGGTATACAAAAATAGTGTTATCATTGAAGAAAAAGTTTTCCCTCGGTTTTGCAAATCCAAATTCCCAACAAGGACTTATGGAAAAGACGTTTAGTATACTAGTTTCAAATTTGCATAATAGTTTTTGATCAATCAAACATTGTTTAAGCTTAGGGCACTTAGATTCGTAGACTCATAGATTCTTCTGCTTCCTTGGTACATTACTACAAATTAAATTCAACGTTGCATTTTCACGCCTTGAATAAGATGGGATGTAAAAAGACCGTCAAACGCTGCCGCTGGCTTAAAAATAAAAACTATGATGAAACAGAAGGTTTACTAGTAGTTATTTCATAATTATATTGTAAAAGCTAATTGTTTTATCCTTAATTAAATATAGCTATTTTGTTTTTAAGCACTAATATAATGAATCTGTGCACAAACAAGATGCTTAAGATACAGGTAATAATGTACTTAGTTTAGGCATCGCAACTATACTGGTAAGCTTCTAATAATTAATTGTATAGCTTTATGATTAGTATAATTATTAAGGTTTTTTTTTTTACCAATTGCATATTAGCTTCCCTTACATTTGTTTTAGTTTTTTTAATTATATTTAGATTAAGTTATGTTGAAATAAATTTATCTTATCTTATCTTAAATAAATTTATCTTAAATTTATCTTACTTAATGCTGAAAATGCGTGGTGGTTCGAATTATGTGTCCGGAAGTGTATTGTTTTAACCTGATTCATCTTTTGTATTTCCGAACTAATTACAGTGAAAAGTGGTTAAACGAATCATATGCAATTAACTGATGTTTTACGTTCGATTTTATTTTTAGTATTATATGATTTAACGCGTTGATTTTCTCCCCTCCGATCGGATAACGAGCTTTGTTCATTGCATATCTCCTCTCTTCTCCACTTTGGAAGATTACGAGCATTCGTAAGTAACAACAAGCTTTACACACTCACCTTGGAAAATGGTTAACCCGTTGATAAGGCGACAAAGATCTCAAGACATCAGGTTTCGGATGTAGTCCGGACCATAGCAGGTTGAAGTCTTTCGAGTCACTGCTGGCTTCCTGAAGACCGTGGGCTTGGAGTAGCCGGTGGAGGAGCTTGGTCTCCGTGTTGACTAGCTTGTAACTGATTTTGAGCATACGGGCTGGCATACGACTGCTTTCTAAGACCTGGAAAAGGTGAAATATTTGGAATGACATTTTAGACCATACTTTTCTATATACGTACTTTACATGTAGGTACCCATTGACTTACAAATAAATGGACGACGGGTCTAATACAAAAACCACGAAAAAAATGTCCCAAGTCAACCTATTTAAACGTAGTGACATGTAAAGGAATATGAAAAAGCTAAAACGTTGAATTTAAATTGTAATGTCATCGCAGTACTGTCTAATTTTGCTTGCTTCGCTGTCAGTCGAACAAACGAAGACTAAAGCGTGAATGACGCTCTGTATACGATTTTAACGCCCTATAAGTTCGGACACTTTTTAGCGCGGACCCGACGTCCATATAATTGTAAGTCAATGCATATACCAATTTTTTTATATCCATTGAAGTGGGCACTGCTAGTGATAGTAGCGAGCTTTTAGTGTTTAAAGCCGGTAACAAAGCCATCGCTTCAATCCCTTCTATTTATTTGTGTGGTGCGCCTCTCAAGAGAGTAGCAAGGTTTAAATACCTAGGGCACTGGGTCACAGAAAATCTGCAGGATGACACTAAAGCGACGGTCAATGCCCTGCGTGTCCAATACAATAATGGTCTTAGGATGCTATTGGGGCTGCCACGATTTTGCAGCGCATCAGGTATGTTCGCGGACGCGCGTATTGATAGCTTCAGCGCGATTATTCGGAAGAGAACTGCCTCCCTGATGCGTCGCGTGCGTGGCAGTTCCAATAGCCTAGTTCGTTTGATCTGGGAGAACCCTGTCAGTGAATTGTGGAAGCACTGGAACTCAGTCCACATGGGTTCCAGGGGTTTAATTTATAAGTTACTATAATATTTCGCAAATTTAGTACTAACATAGGTTGTAAGAATTTTTTTTGTAACTAACACTGATATGGACTATGTCTGAAATAAACTTTTTGAATTGAATTGAATTGAAAAATACAATACGCATAGCATGCGACATACATTTTTCAAATGATTTTAATCTCGTTTGTAAAAAAAAATTAATTCTGAAATAAAGCCAATAATACCAATAAGACCTAACCAAAACGAACCATATTAGTACGGGAAAAGTTTGAATTCAAGCGGAGGTAGCAACGACTCTTTATGTAATGTGCCAGACAACCACACAAATTACCTGGTCTCAAACTAGAGAATCCCCTATGCTACCAGTACCACAGCAACCGAATTAACTCCGGGGGTAATCTGGGGTTCCTACATCAGAACCAAAACTGCGTTCCGGCTTTGAAGGTGCTGGTGAAATTACAGTCACATGAGATTCGTCAACTCCGTCTTAGGGTGACAGGCGCAGTGGCAGTGCCCCATAAGATCTGTGTGTGAGTGCACGACTTGTGCGTCCCTTCACTTGATTTCATAAAATAACTCTACTAAACCACAGTGCAAAGGATTGGACCCCCGAGGTCGAAAAGAACAACATAAATAGGGCATTCAAATTTATGTATCCAATAATGCTTATATAAAATTGTTTTAGCTGCAATGTCCTCGCTTTTATAGTCTGAGTTTCCGCTTAGTGAAATATTGCTTCCAAATAGCAGACGTTGATAGTTCAGAAACTCTTTATGACCTACCGATACGCAGGGGTTAACTGGAACGTTGAATAACAAAGTTTGTTGCCTCGTTGTCATAAACACGCAAGCTTGCAGTCAAAATTGTCATTTTAATACAAAACATCGTCTCTTTCCTGACTAACCGTCGTCAGTAAACTTATTTAAAAATTTCTGGTTAACCCGGTAACTGCTAAGCTAGTGAAGTTGGTTAAGAACCTAATGAACATGAAGGGGTACGGCGCGCGTTATCTGCGCGTATAGGTACGCGCCACAGACCGCGTTGTAGTCGTGAGTACATACAAAGATAGTTTTAATTTTAGTTTTGTTCGTTAATTTCAGTTAGTTTTTTGAAATGAAACAACTACATGAAATTCTAAGTGTAAATTCCAGTGCAGTAATAATAAGCTTCTTGCTTGCGATGCGATGTTTGCGCGCGTTTGAATCGATTCACTACAGCGCGACAGCGGCGCGTAGGTATACGCGTTTACGGCGCGTATGAAATACGCCGTGGGCACAGGCTTTAAAGGGTAAAATGATTCCTTTTTTGTATATGATGGATGAGGCATACAAAGTATCCCAATATAAATGATTATCACTAATATCAGGTTTCTTACCACGGTATGACTTCTTTTTATTTTAAGAAGTCATACCGTGGTAAGAAACCTGATATTAGTGATAATCATTTAGTGAATAACCACGAAAGTCTTAAAATCTATATATCCCAAAATATTATTACGTCGTCGTAGATTTTTTCCTACCCATTTGGGAAATTAACTTTTCTAAATTGGTTCAGGGGGCCTGCCATAACCTTTCCAAAAACAATCTTATTTCAATGTAAGCTTAAAGTAAGCTTATTATAGTATTACTTACATTCGTACCATGACAAACCTGTCAACCAAGTAATGTATTATTGCTAAAGTGATTGAAAGAACCAATGATTTCCCAATATTGTTTATTCCTTGCTAAAAATACGAAAGAAATAACGCTACATGAACTATATAATGCCATCTCTTTCTTTTTTAATGTTCCGAATTGTCTTTTCGTAGTATGATGTTTAAGTATTTAATGTATTTACATTCAGAGAATTCTAACTGTTAAAAAAATAAAAGTACGTAATATAGTAAAATCTATTAAAATTACGTTGTTTTCAATTATTTTCCCGCATTTTCATGAAGAAAAATAAGTAAAACAAGCCAAGTCTTGATGGTTACGTTGTGAATTCAGAATAAGGATCGAAATACGAAACTGCGACGCGACGCGACGCGAATTGCTGCGAAACGATTTCGTGTATTAGGCTTGTGTATTTCATGAACTACGAACTATTAGGAATATATTCCCGACACTGACCAACATGAACTAGTTCGTCTTGGACGGTTTTAATAGTTCATCGTTCTTTTTAGTTCAGTACTAACTGGGAACTGTCTGCGTTGATAGTTCACCTGTTTTTTATACAGCAGGAACGGTGCGAGCGGGACAAATAGCGATCTTTCACTAATTTTAGTACAAGTTCGAATGGGATGCACGATTGACCGTTGCCAGCTCGTTCTAAGTCTCTAATCTCGCAGTTTTGTGTTTCGACCCTTAGTTTAGTGTCAACTGTCAGTGTCGCCAAGGAGTATATATATACATAGATGTCGCTGTCATAATTTTACGAAATAAACATCGAGTATTTTTATTTAACGAGAAATTATTTCCTATGCAATAATAAATAAAAAATAAACAAAATATTGAAGAGATATATGTAAACTTAACTTTTAATCATTACAAATCAATATTAAGACAATAAAACTGAAAATAATATTGTTTCCATTGCGTCCGTGTAACTATTTTAAGATTACTAAATTTGACACAAGAACAATATTACTTTAATGTTAAAGTCGCGTCATAGT